TCTTTCAGATGGTTGTATTGAAAAGTATTTTTTTCAAAATTTTCGAAAACTTGAATTTACAGTGACATGGTTCTTCGAAACGATTCTCTTCATAAAGTTTCTTTTCAAATTTTAGTCTATACCATGTTCGATAGAGAATTTCAAGGGCTATCTAAATCACTATTTAGATTTGATCTAACTATTCATCTTTGCTGAAGATTTTCAAAAATAAAGGGGGGTGCTATAATTTTGGGACCCTTGTATATTAAATATTTATCATTCAGAACTACGAAAGTATTAGTTTATGATTTATTTTGCTGTTGAATCGTATGGACGATATTTTTTTCATTTTTCGTTAATGAAAATAAATTGATAAATTCTATTTAAAATTAACAGTAGAACGTAAAACATGTACTGCAAAAGATAAAACGATATATAATCATATAAAATATTATTCTTATCGTAAAATTCTGTGCAACAATGCATAAACTGAAGTATGAAAGGCCTGAGTATGAATGCAAATTTCAAATATATCAAAAGAAAACACAAAACATTTTTGTGATTTCTTATTATTCGGACTTACAAAATGCATTCGGTTATTTCTAGAAGATTACTTCAAGAATCTCGTTGCATTTTTTTTTCTGAATCTATGTAAGTTTAAAATAGTAATAGAAATATTAGAATATATGAATCTGAGTTGTGACGATTTATTTTCATGTAAAAAAACATGTTTAATAAACGTAATAAAACTATTCGATGACATCAATTGATATGATATTGTACAAAATTTAAACTAACTTTTTCACCATTAGGTTAAAATCAATTCTAGACAGTTGAGCGTTTTGTAGCACGAATTAGAAGACTACATGGTACCACAGATGATCGTTGATCAGTTTTCCATTGAATTTTGGCATCTGGAAGAAGATTACAAACATTGGGTTTGCCGCTAGATTTTTTCTCTATATAAGCTGGGTTCTGTTTACATTGAAGAACTACTTGAAAATCGTACCATTGATTATTAATGTCGACCTTATCAGCGGGACTTACATGGTCTAGAGAAGAGTAATTTATTGAAGGCGATGTATAAATATGATGTTGATCTGGCAGATTAAGAGTAAATTTTCTACCCGACAGAAGATCATCACCAGGAAATGGTATGAAACGATTATGAATGATATCATTAAGTTTATCTTTTGATGTTCCATAGAATGTTGTATACCATTTTTTAAATATTTGATTATTCGAAGCAAATGCTTTATCTACTTGAATTCCAAATGATACCCAATCTATGGGCACTGTGTATTTAGGATTGACTACTGGCAAGACTTTCGGTTCTGAAGGTTTATAACATATGGAACAGTAACATTTATTATGACGTGTATTGAAATATTTTTTGTTTAAGTGTAATTTTTTCAAATATTGAAAACAAATTTGTTTTGGACATTCAACAACTTAAACGAATATAAAATAAAACAAGTAGATAAAATATTATTTTGTATTTCTATTGTTTCTAATATCCAATTTACTATTATGCCACAAAAACAGTTCACTATACTTAACAACTCTAAATAATGTAACAGCTAAGAATTGGGTGTGGAATATCATTGTGTAAGTAATTTGGAAAATGTTCAACTTCAAAAAATTTCTCATGTACTAACATTATTTTTTTTTTTTTTGAATAACTCTATGCTTAAGGAATTAATCATATCTAATTGACTACTGATTAAAGACTTCCAAAAATGATGTACAAAGTGCTCAGAATTGAAAAGTTTGCTTGATGAACAAATGCAATACGATATTTATGATTTTTGAAGATGAGTCAAATTGTTCGAAATGTTAGATTTATATGTAAATGGCTGATGATGAAGTTACAAAATACTTTTTTTTTCGCACGTTTTGACGGTTGAAGTGTCTCATTAATCAGAGAATGTAGAATAGAGACCATCCATGGAAACTAAATTCAATGGATCTATATTGAGTTTAAAAAGATCTAATGTTACTGAAAAAATGATCATATCGATTTTTTCTTCGCTATGGGTGTTGAATTTAGTAACTGTATTTTAGTTTGATAACTCGCTCTATTAGACTTTGAATCTCTATATCAACTATCATATGTATAAGTGTCTTTGCCTTACTGTTATGGGACAAAAGAAACCATCTTAAGGATATGATTGCTACAGAAGTATGCATTTGATGGGTGTGGGTATGTGAACAGCAGACCACCCTCACACTTTTGTCTGTTTTCAAAATAAAATCAGTCTGGGAACGTTTAGAACATGTGTGTAGCTGGCACTCCATAACGATTATCTGCGCTTACTCGAAAAACTCCTGAAAAATGAAGTGTTCGACTGTTGAACACTGAAAATGAGTACAATAAAAAGTAGTTATTCCAGTATAATGTTGTTTAGTAAAAATGAGACAACAATTTTTTTTTCATATACTTGATATAATTATTTTAACTATGTAATATATACATCTGGCATGGACTAATTACTCTTCAAAAGTCAGAAACAGATTATCATCAATGATTTGTTTCTAACTTTTGAATTTTTGCAGACAAGAAAAAGACTAGGGACGTAAATTAGACATCGTTTTATAGTTTTCATTCGATATTCATACTAATTTGCGAATTATCTAAATGTAAAGTCTTAAAAGTTAAGGAGAAAAGTTCACTGTTTGGTTGTAGTAGAGTACATATATAGGTATATGTCAAACATCTTTAGAAAAATATGTGTTTTAGTAGTTTATTACTTAGAAAAACCTTCTTGATAGAAAATAATAAATAAATTAGTAAGTAGACGATGCATACAACTTAGAAGAACTAGAGTTTTGCATATAAGAAAGACAAACTAAAACATATTTGGTAATCTAAAATTTTTAGAAAGCTATATAATCTTTAACAAGGATTGATTTCGTAGTTGCATGTTTTTTTGATCATACCAGCTGTTTAAAGATCTGATTGGTTGGTGTTAGTCACACATAACAGTCAAGCTCAATAATAGTTTTATAAGTGTTATGCGAAGTTTGAAATCATTCTGTAATATATTCTGAAACATATTAATATCAGTTTTCGAATATTTCATATTTTGCGAAGTTCTGTTTAAAACTTATAAATTTCCCGATATTCATAGTATGTATTGCAATCTTTGTTAGTTTTTATTACGAATATTATTCACTTTCATTAACATTATCTGTTTCGGACGAAATTTAGAAAGATCGTACAACCGGATGTATATTTCCGAATGGAAAAATTATAAAAGTATGAAACAAATTATTTACACACTCGAACAAAAGTCTTTTCCCCTTTTATCTTTTTATCCTGCCATATTTTGCATCAAATTTATTACTGAGTACATATATGACATGAGAGCTTTATTATTATGATTTGTACACTAAAATGAAATAAAACTTTAATGTTGAATCTCTACTCAGTAATAAATCTAATAGAAAGTTTGACATCATAAAAAGATAAAGAGAAGAAAGATTTTTGTTTTGGCGTGTACCTCTAAAATCTAAGGTTGGTGTATGTGTGGTGTTTATTTATCTATTTGAAACTTAATGGATTAGAACATGAGTGATCACTGTATAAAAATTGACAACAAATTTTGATTGAAAGGTATATTTGAGACACTATATCTCGACAAGAGTTTAAATACGCATCCATTGAAGATAAATGATGACATACTTTACTAAAATAACAAATTAAAATTTCGGGAAAATAACTGCATTATTGATCAATGTTTATTTTTTTACTATAGTAAGAGTAAGTTTTTTATTTTGTTATAGTCTACAGAACTTCAAGAAGTCCAAATGATCTGTAATATATAGTCAATACATAACACTGTATAACTATATAATAGCTAATGATTATAATTAGATGCTCAAATTAAAACTTACACTTTTCTTATATGATCCTGTTAATGACATTCTCCAATTTTATGTACTTTGTGATATCTGCTGTTTAGCAGATACTCACTATAAAACAGCATCCAGGATGCACTTAAATTTAGTACCTCAGTAGCTTGAACGCTAGCTATGATATAGGCTCAGATCTCGAAAATCGATTTTGACACCTGGCTGTACACTGTGCTCCTCCCACGACCGTGACAGATGTTTTTTGTGCACAATGAGCGATCATAGATCACTAGCATCTCGTGAGAATATATGAACTAACTAGTTTCTTCTTGCAGTACAAGAGGATTAAATAAAAAATGATGAAGAAATGATTCTCAAGATAGATTGCATAAAACAATGTTCTCGTGATTAGTAACAATAGCTACATCATTTTTCACATTTTAATTCTGCAGAAATTGCACGAACAGATTTTTTTTTTTTTTTGAGTGTTGTAACTTTTGAGTATGTGAATATACTAGGTCAAAAAGCGTAAATAGGCACAAATAGAACCAGTAGTGAATTTAAGTGAAATAACGAGAGTTTTGACAAAAAAAACATTGAATTATTATCATTGTGAGTATCGGTTTAATGGAAAAAATAGTCAGTTAATTTTTGTGGAAGAGTTGATTAGACTACAAACAAAATACAATGTATTAAGGTGATGTCACTTGAATCTTTGTACGTGTATGTGTATCAAGATTTTTTGATATTAGACAATTAGTATCATTTCAAAAAACCCATGGGCAATTGTTCAATAGTCGTACCTCTCTAACTACACCATTGACGACCACTATCAAGTATACGTACTATACCATAAAAATGAGTGATTTTATTTGCTATGCCAGAATGTGTCATAAGATGCATATTTATCTGATAAATGCATCATGAAGATCGTCTCGTATGTCCCACAAAAGTAAGAGATAGGTACTTAGTCATTTGGTAGTTGGTATGGGGATTCAATGCACATGGCGAAGAAAAACCGATATGATTATTATGAATAATGATGATTTTGTCAATAACATCAACTTTGTTAAACTCAATATATATTCATTACGATCTGTTTCAAAAGACAACTGCTAAAGTACGTACTCTGATCAGATAGATGATTTGGTTTTATATTGAACTAACAGTAGAATGAGGAAACTTCTAACCTAATATGTTTTTTCGTCTCGGTACAACGTACTTGTTCTTTTCAGAGTAGATTAAATATTAGTAATGTTTTAACTATAGTAGAAAAAAATCGGGTTGGTTCCTTTACTTCTACGTCGCCTTTAGTCTCTAAATTTTGTCTATTCGTATTCCTTAACAATCTATTAGATTATGAAAAATATAAGTTGATGCATGCAAAACGTACCGGCGGGTGTTGATGATGGAGCGACGGCGCTACTAGAAGGACATGAACCCATCTAGAATTAATAACAAAAAAAGCTTGATGAGCATAGAATGATCAAAGAACAACGTTGATGCTCAGTACCGAATTCTTTCATAATCACTATCTATGACCTACTTTTATAAACTCACATAACTATATAACCAATCAGTTCAAAGTTCTCTGATGAATGTTACACTCACGAAAGACTTCCGTATTATAGAAGCAACTTGGAAAAAAAACAATCCATGAATTATATTCACGTCTATAGAATTAGTCATATTCAAGTATTGGCTACTGATGATTTCGAGCTGAGTTACTGAAGAGTCAGCGACAGGAAAAAAAAATAAAAAAATGTCGTAGCACGAAGTCTACAAGTGAAAATAGAAAAAAAGAAACGAAGAAAAATGTGACTTACTGAAGTGTTGCTAAGGTAAACACGATAAAAAATTTGAAACGCAAAAGAAAACAACTTACATTATCTCAGCACAACTATTGTAAAGCATCAAAATCAAACAATGACGCGTCGATGTGCTGCATGTCATGCAATCACGCCATCGCACGATGTAAATTGTTGCCAAAATTGTGGACTTCAGTTTCATAAACCTCAATTTCCATCATCGTCACCAAATGATAAAATCGGTTCTTTCGATAGGACACCATCAAAACACAAACCGAAAGAACACGATAAATCATCGTTGGCAAAACATTCAAATCCTTCACTTTCCAATAATGATAATGATGCAAAATCTTCGATCCCTTGTAAATATAAAAGTCTTTGTGGAGAATATCTTAAATCATTGAGCTGGAACGACGCTTTATTTGATCGACGATTTAATCGTTGTTACTGTTCGAATTGTTATCCAAATTCATTGAGCAATACTCTTGAAGAAGCTGGTTCTCTTTACGTTATTCCACGTGGCTGGTGTCGATTTGGTCTTCAAGTTGATAAGGTACGAGCTGACGTTGATCACATATGGCGTAATTGGATTGTAACCTATCATGGAACATCATCGGAAGCAGCTCATTCAATTGTTGCTCATCGACAATTTCTAATACCTGGAGATAAACGCATAGATGGCGAGAAAATTGCAATACTTCCTGGACATATCAAAGAAAAATATCATATATACACATCACCGACTATAGCCTATTCGAGTGTTGCATGCTACTGTCCATCGAGTCAATTTCAATCAAAAATAACAAATAAAGTTTACGATGCACGTATTGTAATTCAATGCCGACAAAAACCGGGAACATTTGAAGTTCAGCAAGAAACAATTGGAGCTGGTCATAAAAGAATTTGTCCATTTATACCAAATAGTCAAGTGGAAATATTTACAACAGTTCGTGCATCTATTGTACCTTACGGAATATTGATACATTTAGCTGAAGTTTCCTAAAATGATTGATGTTGAAAATTTTTATGATTTGCTTTTATTGTATCGGTTTTGAAATAAACTTGATCATAAGAATAGAACTATTTGAAGATAATCTTCAAATTGATGAATACCGGCGACAAGGTCAAAGTATTAATCACGACATATAAAAGGGATCGACAGCTTTTATTCGGAATAAGAAATTGTTCTTTGCCAAGTTTTTGGATTTGAAATCGAAAGAAAAATTTCGAAACCAACAACAAAAATGTACATTTAACTAACGAGGGAACATTCCAAAGTGTTGGAACGCTTTTGAGTCGGGACCGTAAAAAAAGTTCGTGCCCCTAGCTTGTTCCTAGTGAGATATCGAGGTTTTAGTGAATTTTTCCTATAAGACCCCACATTGGCAGCAAGGCCATATTTTTGAATTTTGATCTGAAACTTTGCCCACATAAACATCTCAACTAGATTAGTTTGCCTAAAAAATTTCAGAACTTTTGGACAAAGTCTCTCCGAGATATGAAGCTTTCAACGTATAAGCCGTTTTCCATAGATAGCGTATAAAGCATGCATTTTTTGAAAGCTTCATATCTCGGAGAG